GGGCTTCATTGTCCTCGTTATTGGACTACTGAGGTGCGGGTGGATAGTCGACCTTATTTCCATCACCTCTCTTTCAGCTTTTATGACAGGCTCCGCCATCACAATTTGCGTTGGCCAACTACCAGCACTTCTCGGTCTGTCAGGATTTTCGAACCGAGAGCCCCCATACAGAGTCCTTGCAAATACGATTGAACATCTCGGAGAGGCAGGTTACGATGCTATCGTTGGAGTCTCAGCCCTATCGATCTTATACCTTATCCGTCAAGGTTTCACCGCTGTGGCAGAGCGATATCCAAAGCATAAAAGACTATTGTTCTTCACCAACACAATGCGTACGGTTTTTGTTATTTTAGTGTATACAGTAATGAGCTGGGTCCTCAACATGCATAGAAAAGACGATCCCCTATTTAAGGTTCTAGGGGTAATCCCAAAAGGTATCTTCAGCACAATCCATCTACTCGAGTCAAAAGAACTAACAACGTGAAAGGATTCCAGAATGTTAGGGTTCCGAAACTAACTACGGAGCTCATTTCGGACTTTGTTCCTTATCTACCAGCTACCGTCATCGTCTTGCTTGTTGAGCATATGGCGATTTCCAAGTCGTTTGGGCGTGTCAATAACTACACCATCGATCCATCTCAGGAGATGGTTGCCATTGGGATGGCTAACCTTATTGGGCCATTCCTTGGGGCATATCCAGCTACAGGCTCATTCAGTCGTACGGCGATTCAGTCGAAAGCTGGCGTACGAACCCCCGCTGCTGGGATAATCACTGGACTAGTGGTTTTACTTGCAACGTACCTATTGACTGCTGTCTTCTTTTATATACCAAGTGCCGCTCTTGCGGCCGTTATCATTCACGCCGTAGGAGATCTCGTCACACCTCCCAACACCATTTACCAGTTCTGGAGAGTTTCACCGATCGAGGTGTTCATCTTCTTGACCGGTGTTACTGTTAGTGTCTTCGCTCAAATAGAAGATGGGCTATATGCTACCGTTCTCCTTTCAGGGGCTGTGTTTATCTACCGTATCCTGAAGGCCAAAGGCAGGTTTCTTGGCAAAGTAAAGGTTCATTCGGTCATTGGCGACCATGTTATTGGTGATGATCACCGAAAGGTTGTCGGAGAGTACGGCACAATTGAGGATTCCGATGTTTCTGCAAGAAACGTTTTTATCCCCCTTGGACATGGCGATGGCTCGAACCCCGAAGTTGAAGTTGATCATCCATATCCCGGAATTTTCATCTACCGCTTCTCTGAAGGCTTCAATTACCCCAATGCCAACTCCTCTCTGGACTATCTGACCGACTTCATTCAGTCCAACACGCAACGCAGCAGTCCCGAGGCTTTTGAACGACCGGGCGATAGGCCGTGGAATAACCCAGGGCCAAGGAAATCTGCAAAACGTCCTGTTAATTCAGATCCAGACTCTGCACTTCCGACATTAAAAGCGGTCATCTTGGATTTCAGTTCTGTCAACAACGTCGACATCACCTCAATTCAACGACTGATCGATATCCGTAATCAGCTCGATTCATATGCCTCTCCTGATGGCGTAGATTGGCATTTTGCTTGCATACATAACCGATGGTCCAAGAGAGCATTGGTGTCAGCAGGGTTTGGAGTCCCATACAAACCCAATGAAGGCACAGCACCTCGAAGGTGGAAATCGATTTTCAGCGTAGCGGAAATCGGAGGCAAGGACTCTGCTGTAGCAATCGCTCAGGAGACAGACCCCGACGAAATGACACCAATACATACGGACAACACAGACGAAGAGCCCTTGATTGGAGGATTTTCCTCGGTGAGATCCTATGGCTCAATGTCATCAGGAGACCTTGAGAAGCAGAGGCGGAGAGGTGCTGTGGTTCATGGCCTGGACAAGCCACTATTTCATTTAGACTTGACAAGCGCGTTACAGAACGCAATAACCAATGTGGAAGAGAGGGCGATATCAAGAGAAACAGCACACGATTAACAGCTGGATGGAGTACGGGTGAACTGGCTGCCGTTTCGGCTCACAACATGAAAGAGAAGCATTTAGCGAGCCATTATTTATTACCACTATGTTTACCTAGAACAGTAATTCGTAACGAGATTATGACAGAGCCGACTACGGCCGTCGCTACAAAAGCCAGCCAAGATCACTCATTCACCCACGTTACAAAATCTCAGGGCGTGAGGGATATCTGTCTCGTGAGGTTCTCGCGCGCACTGCAGGGTATGATAGTGACTGGTATTCCATAACAAGGGGTGAGAGGCTTTCAAGCAACGAATGTGATCCTTACGATAAATTTGATTTCTCATCACCGGCCCAGCTGATCACATATTCCTCAAGGGCAGACGAGTTTGACGCCGAATCTCCTGAGTCTGAGGAGACAAACATTGCTATGGGACCTTCCAGCCTCATGAAGGACGAGTCAGTACCCAATTCACTTGTTCATCCTTCAGCTTATACTGGGAGTGCTTAAATGGGTAATTCCATGCAGCAGTGTTAGATCTTGTTCATGATCCACAAGGACAAACAGTTCTCTATTACACTGGCTGTAGGGCTTTTTAGCTATTCAGGGGAAGAAGCTATAGTTTTACTAACTTTGAACAGCCACGTTCTCCAGGACGTGATAAACTCTGAAGATTTCTGGGTAAGCCAGCTTCCTCAAGTGCACACGCCTTAAAGCTGACGATTCGTATCAGGTTGAGACTAGCTGGATCTCCGGATTGACAGAGCTGGAGAAGAAGGGCGCAACGAGGCTTCGTGCTGATGCCAAAAAGTCCTGTGTGGAGTCTAGGACCAATCCTAAAGGTACCAAGGCTGGATACTTGGACCCGAAATACATCGAGGTACCAATGAAACCCCTAGAAGCCGAGGCAATGTCGTCCGGTTCAGTGTCTAGCTCAGCACGATGGATTTTTATTCCCTTCTTCGCACTCGAGCAGTAATCCGATGTACTCACAGCTGCCAGCGCATCTCTTTTCCAGCTCAGGTCTCGCTGCAAGTCCAGTACTCCTGAAACACTTTGTTAGGGGACATGAAGCAAGCGGTGGTTCAGCTGGGAAATGCAGAACGCGGAGAGTGTTTCCATATATCTCAACTTTGGTGGCTGGTCATTGATAACAGTAACGACTCCTTCATTGATTCAATAGGAAACTCACTGGTGGTTTAAAAAATAAATAAGAAAAAGGGCTTATTAGCAATACATGGGATGATGACTAGAGACGATCTGCTCAGCCAAGGGCTTGAGATTAAAGAACGCCCATCTCGTGCTGTAGTCAATCAATACAAAGGGCGCATTTTGGTGGCTATGGTGCTTCGGTTGTTTGTTCGCTTGATGCCAATGGGTGTCAGACGTGGTTTGTAAGTCATGCTTCTCCGTCCAATGACAGATCTGACACTATTTTTGAATTTTTATTACCTTGGTTGCCGTCAGCCTTGTACGAGGTTATCAAGCTTCTAACTTTTCAAACAAAGGCTTAAACAGTGCTGACGCTTTATACCAGGGATTCCGATCCAATTTCCAAGCATTCTGGCCTAAAGTTCCAGAGTTCTAGTACTAAGATCAAGCCGTCGCAGTATACGCATGGCCCAGAATACTCAAATCGGCCTCGACCGTCAAGGCCTTCATCGTTTAAGATAATGATGAAGCTGGTTTCCAAGCCTGACCCTTCCTCACGAGCCATTTTGCGGCCAGATCCTCAAGTCCACACAAGTACGCGTGATGGAAAGGACAAACCTAGGACACAGAAATTTTCTCATATGTTGGCCTTGGCGATATGGGACGCCAGAGGTCCTCAAATTCAAGTGACTGGTTTCAAGCTTCTTGAAGCTCAGCTGGATGCGACTGAGACTTTTTTAACATGCGATACAACCTGTGCGGATCGAAAGGCATACGAGAAAGAAGCTACGAGAAAGGAATGCTATGAATATCTGGTCTACTTATCTGGTCGACTTATCTGGTCGAATCGAGGAAGCTGAGAGTGATTTTTTGCGACCTGCATACGAGGAAAAGGTGGACATCTTCAACGCTGTTGACATTGTTTATAGCTTCTTTCTACCCACGAATTTCCCAAGGCCATGGTCGGAAAATACTGGGGCGCGGTCAGACCTCTAACTGAGGTAGGTTATAGGCAAATAATCTCAATGGTGAGCGTGCTAATCTCAACGTGAAGTTAACAATGCTAGATTTTAGGGCGGTTTCTGACATCGCTGGTAGCCTCCGGGTTTCTCTTAGAGACCTGAAGTGAAATCTCTTCGCACTCCAAAAACTCGTCATTTATTTATCTGATCAAAGAGTGAGCTGGAGCTGGTATGCCGCCCGAGTTCTCCAAAGCATGTCTTTACAACACCATGGCCATAGTCTATGGTTCCAATGACGACCCTAAGTGAAATGATCGGATGAAAATGGCGGAAGAGCTCATCGGTACGGGTTCCAAAAAGCTAGTCCAAGGATTCAGTGACAACAATTTGCTAGAAAAGTCTATTGTATTGCCTCTTGAAGTGCTTTCACTCATCACAATGGCCTACTACAAGATCAGGCCGGCAAATCTGATGACATATGCGATACTTACTCTCAGTATCTTGGCTCTCTAGTAAGTTTCGATGCAGGTAACGCCATAACCTGGGTCGGCTATAACAAACTCAGGTTCTTGCAGTCACATCGAAACCCTCCGACAGGTCCTTTCAACATCAGCTCGATCTAGTGCAACAAGAGCTCGCGGCCGTCAAGCGAACACTCTGGAAGCAAAAGTCGCTATTTATCGACTACGAAATTCGCTTACCGCCATTGATACAGAAGACATTGTCATGAGTCAGATTGAGCATAATATCTTGTTAAAGAGGCAAAGAAGCAGTACAACAACAAGCGGCACTACTCAGAAACCTTGTCGCTGCCTCACTCACAACTTCGGGGTGGGGAATATAATCGAATTGTCCCTGTTTCTTATGCTCAGGAGGCTGCAACTGCGAACGACTATATGGAACTGCATGAAGAATTCATGTTCGATATGGCTTCATCTTCAAAACTGTCTCCTACAGATGCGGGAGGTCTACGTTGTCTCTTCTTCCTCGAATGCTCACGTCTCATCGAGCAACGCGAGTTTGAGCGTCGACGCTTCGGCGATTCTTCTCAAGACCTCAAGCGGGCGATTACATATGAGATGGACTTCACAGGAGACCGACAGGAGCGTGCCAACTATGCTTTCATCCTTGTTACTGTCATTTTCTTGCCTATCCGCGCAGTTTTGAGTATTTTTGGCGTGAACACGACTGATGTCCGCGATATGAACTACTCACAGTGGCTGTATTGGGTGGTTGCTATACCAGTAACGGTCCTCGTTATTGTCCTAGGACTCTGGTTTATGGGAGAGTTAGGAAGCCTAGCTCGATGGTTATCCGGGCGACCAGGAAAGGGGATCTACGGCGAACCGCCAGTCATATCACAAGCAGTCGAACCGGCGTATTGGGCGGCTCCCCCAACCACTCAGCTAGCTGCCCAACCGGCAGAGTATTCATCGTCCCCATATGAGCCGAGGCGTAGACGGGTTCAGGCTCAAGCAAATTACCCTGCACACCAGAGTCGCATCTATCGGTCGCGATAGGTGACCTGAAGACGAATACTTGACACACATTGGGGAAATGCTCAGTTGCGGTGCAAATATTGTAAGTCTTGCTTGAGATGTATTGGTATCATGGTTCCAGAATGATTACAAGTTTGCAGCTTCAGGAAAATATAATATATACTTAATAAAAGTTTGCTTTAAAGATACCCGAATTTGCCTTTAACTCCTGGACAATCCCTATTTAAGAAGAACCAGAATCATCAATCGTAATACAGATAAAGCCGTTACAGAGCCGCCCATTCATAGTCATCCAATGACACTGATCAACGGTAGTACTCACGCTCGCGGTCCGTAATACGGAGCCGTACTCTATCATCCTCAATCATCCGTCTGGGTGGTGATGGAGGTGAATACTCCCGACGTCGAGTTCCCTCAACGTACCGGAAGGTTTCATAGCGAGGCTCGACTTGAACCGGGACAGGAACAGGGACGATCCTCTCACGCTCGATGACGCGCTCTCGATCGTGATCATATGATGAGTGGTGGCTGTGCCTGCTTCGGGATCGAGACTTGGGCTTCTTCTTTTTCTTGTGTGGCTCAACGTCCACCGCAATGACCTCGATAGGCTCTTCCGGTGGAGGTGAAGGGGGTCTGGGCTTCACAACCGGAGGAGGCGGAGGCTTGGGTTTCTCAACTGGAGGGCAAGGTGGAGGAGGCGGTGGTTTCTCGACCACAGGAGGTGGTGGTGGTGGTTGAGGTTGCGGAGGTGGAGGTGGTGGCAGCGGAGGCCTGACAATTACTGGAGGTGGTGGTGGAGGAGAAGGTTCAGGAGGAGGAATTATTCGTGTTACGCGATGGCTGACGATGCCATAGTCCTGTTCCGGGTGCTGGAGATAGAGTCGTTTCTTCTCGTAAGGTTTGGTGACTGTTGCGATGACGTCAGTGGTGGAATTTGCGATACGGCACACGGCAATGCGCAGTAATAGAGGACTTACCCATCTTGTCGGCGAACACAAATACAGCTTCAGCGACAACAACAATGAGATGCAAGCAGTTACCTGCAAGACGTTATACGAACAGCTAAAGGGTGTTTGACGGGGAAAACCCGAGGATGATCAAGTGGAGTACTCAGGGCACGATGGATGGGATGCTTTGTTGGACAGCGATGGATGATTGACAGTTAACGGCGGCGATAGGCGGGTGGGAGAGGGAGCGGCGATCTTTTATGTTCTGACGAAGATTCGAACGATCAGGCTGCAATGGAAGACCTGGCATGTGAGGAAAGGCTATTGAGCTTCCATGATTTGTTCCAACCCAACTCAACCTGCCAACCAATGCCCAAGCCAAAAAGCCAGACCAATCTGATGGATGGATGGGCTAGCGACTCCGAACTTGGAACACAAAAGGCTCTAACTAAGGTAGTTAGTTACCAGTCAAACACGAGGTCACCGGATCATGACGTCGCACATGCGTATGCACGTCAGCCCCCACCTCCAATATTCGGTCATCTACTCCGTACAAGAAACCAGATTTCGCGATTTTGATGGGCAGGGACTGAAAGGCATGTTGATTAGGCCAACAATACAACCAGTCATGTGTGTGATTTTCGGCACAGCCTACATTCTGGACCCCTGGACCCTGAATAAATGGAAGGGATACAGAGAAAACCTTGTGTCAAACGGCACTGGAGGGCTGAGTTGTTCTGGTTGGGTTACAGAAAACCCCCATAATCTTGGCGGTAGATTGTGTTTGTGTCGACGGACAAAGATATTCCCTTCAGGTTGTGTATGTCGAGTACACGACCGACGTAGCGCGAATCGCAGCTGAACTTCATTTTATTTTGGCGACGGATATAATATTATAGTCAGTGAAACATTAGAGTGGTTTCACAAAGTTGTCTCCGATACGGCAGTTCAAACTTCCAGAGGCCGGTGCCAAGGCCCGGATCGGAAGCTAGAGACTCGGAGCGAGTGGGTCCGAGATGCCGACTCACGGTCATAAAAGCACACCACTTCGGTTAGGTTTCTTCAACGTCTCGCTTAACAAATTCAAGTCCTCATCTGAGGTAGAACTTTAGTTAGATACTCACCCTAGCAATTACCACCTCTACCGCCTCCTGAAACCAACATGCGCACTACCCATAAACCCCTGCACTTCAGCAAGTCATCAGGAGTGATGAAACCTTGGGGTACATTCTGACATGATAGGATTATTCTGATCGCAACGGTCGAGGCAATCGTTAGTCTTATATGCTCGGTTAAGTCATCTACGTAGACTATCGACTATCTTTACTTATCCGAACATGTAGCCAAGCTTCTGACAAACACACGGGCCAACGCATCTGGTGTCAGAACGTTTGTCTTGCCAGCTGCTAAGCTCATACATATGTAGGGCGAGAAACCTGAAATAGTTATTAACTTCTATCTAGCACCTCACTCGGTCGTTCGCAGTTACAAGTTAACCTGCCTATCCCGTTTCTATTCTCAACTGAGTTCAATGCCAGACAAGAGTTCGTAGACTATGTACTCATACGGCCTGGGTGAAAAATACGATCTTTAACTTCTGAACTTGCATCGACATACTGTCTCCCTGATGATCGGCTGATCTGTGGTATTTGAATCCAAACTCGAATAATTACAACACGCCCCAACTGACCGTATGTGCCCAAACATACATCTGCAAAAGACAAAAGAAAAAGATTACAACATCCATCGTTGCCACCAAAACACCCTACATAACTAGATGAATAAATTCCTATGTAGCTCCCAACGGACTCGAGGTGTATTTCCTCAACCCTACCCTGTAACGAAAGCATCAGTGAAGCTTGGGGATCCATAGGGATATGTGGAGCCGGGCATCAAAACACAACCTGCAATAGAGAAAGGACACTTAAAAGGCGATGTAATGCAGAGAATTGGCACAAAAACTGCCCCATGCGTTGCGGGCGGGATCATGGTGATCGAAATCACCGGGTTACAAGGTATGAGAGTAGTGGGGAGTATCCATCACCTATCTAGCCTATCTAGGCCTATGTACCATGCTGCTATGTATGGTATCCGAAGCATATGTACGGGTATGCATAATTAAAGGAGTTCGGCACTGGTAACACAGTTTTCAAACCCATGGAAGTCCTGGGCTGTCCAATCCGTAACGAACAAATGAGGACTCTTATCACTTTTCCCAATCACACCGCTTTTGCCGACACTACCCAGTTTTAGGTACTACGAGGTATGTTATCTACTTACATACTTCGTACGGAGTACTATCCTCTCTTCCCCAACATAAGGTAACTGTTTGCATAATTTTGTTCGACCCATATTGAAGGAATGTGTGACTTTTAGGCCCTGCATATTAAATGTATGTACTCCGTATCTGGACCCTTCTGACAACCCAACCATTCTCTGCCATCCTCCAGTGACCAACCTTGCCATTTTATACATTGGGGCTATCTGTACGTTGGGTTTGGGGGATTGATTCAGAGGAGGAACCAGATTTATGAGGAGGTCGATGTCTTTTCGTGAGAAAAGCCACTATTCGGGATGAATCTTGGCCCAAATTGTAACCGTGCCTTGCTTGGTAGATCGAATACATAGGTATCAAGGATATGGTTCAGATGGTGCGAGATATATACCTCCAAGCCTCATCTGGCTGTCTTGCCTTGGTTACGGTGTACCAGCCACACGGAAGGATTTCGAGTTTTCGTGTTGAGGGACATCCCCTGCGGCGAGGGCTGACGAACTGTCTCAGTCCCTAAAGCTGCAAGGAGTGTTGGACTGGCATGAGTTGAAGATATGTCTTATGAAATGGCACCGAAAGCAAGGACGAACTGTTCTTTCTCCCCTATATGCGCCTCGTTCGTCTTGGATGTGATACGTTCGGGGTGGCTTGCAGTAAATCTGTCAGATGGCTGTTGTGTTTGTCTCGAATACGCGCTGAAGTGTGCGTGATCGTACCAAACATTGGACAAATGAAGGCAGATAGCTAAGAATAATTTCAAGTCCCCATTGTTACAAGCTATGCTAGCCCGAGGCGCCTTGCGTTTCTCCTTGAGATCCAAAACACAGCCGGCATGATTCGCTCCTTGGTAAGAGACTAAGAGATCGATCCGAGGCTTGCTTTGTGTCTCCCGCCATGCAGTTTGGTCAGTGCTTCTTATTATTTGGCGGGCGGTTAACGCTGGTGGTGCCGACAGGGTTCTAATAAGACGGACGAGTGATAACAGATGGATCTTCGGAGTCCGGACCACTTGAGATGGCCAGATTGTACCTGCATAACGCAGATAGAATGGATATCGACTGAGGGTGGGACACGTGCATCTGTGCTTTTTATTGACCATACCTTCTGTTTCTGGACATATCAGAGCATAAGCGAGACATGTAGTGATTGACGACAAAGTTGTGAAACGTGCAGGGCAATCAATCACTGGTGAGAATACTCCGTATGGCGATTAACAATCAACAAAAATATTTGCTATTAGTTTATGTATCAACATCCTGAGGTGGAACCTGGTGGTTCTCAGCTCATTCACTCTAGGTAGTCACTCCATTCCATCCAGAACACGGTCCCATCTTTTCTTTTCCTAGCTTGTCCAGGCTGTGTGGCTTTTACCAAGGACCCAATGCACCTCAGAAATCTTCCGGCCGCCCACCCTTCATGACCAGACAAGAATGGTTAGGCTCAACTACCCTTCCTGCCTTCGCTGGAATCCCTGGAAATGGGTTGTTTGACCGTGCTGTATCCGGTAAAGTGCTGCGAATCATTGGAAACTAGGATCAGACGTGACAATAGCCACTGCAGTTTTGATTGGAACACCGTCACTGAGGCATCTAGGAACCCTTGCCCTTGTGATTGCTCTAGAAAAGAGCCCACTTACAGACTGTGATGGTCATTTGACTGGAACGATTTCCAGCACAAAGAGAGTAAGAGTTGATGTCAAGTACGCGAATAAATATAGCAGCCACGACAAGATTGAACTACAAAACGAAGGGATTTCAAGTTGAAGAGCGTCCCCAGGTCCTGAGATCCTACCAAGAACTTGG